TTAAGGGGTAAGAAGGAGAGATATAAACCGAATCTTAAAGTACGGCAGGGTAATACATAGCAATTTACCACTCTGACTTAAAAGTTCAACCTGGATCTTTTCACAGATCAACTGTCTCAGAACTAGATAACCGTCATAAGCTTTGGAATTGTGAGCAATAAAAATACAACCTGTAAACTCCTGATTTATACATTTCTTCACAAATTGATCCAGGCACCTATCGCCATAACATTCCACCTCATCACATCCTTTTCCTCCAGCATGTCCGTGGCACAGACATAATTTGGTATGCGTACCCCTGTTTCTTGACAACATTCAAAATCATAAATAACGTACCTCGTGCCTGTTTCTGGTCGAGGCAGCAGTTTCAGAAAACATAAATGCCCTTCCATGTTATCTACTTTCTCATAGCATTGCCCGCACTTGCTTTTCTTACATTTTTTGTGAAGGGTAAAGACATAAACACCACATGTGCCACAAAACACCTTATTCTTACAAACAATTTTTCCTTCCTTTCCCATCTGTATGTGTCTTTCAAGGCGTGCCTTAGAGCGACAAGACAGTTTGCACTTACAGCATCTTGTCTTCTCCACATCCACCTTGTGACATGCTTGCTTCAGACATGCACAACAGAAATATCGACAATCATGGGTAAATTTGTGGTGGTATCCTGTGTGGCAGAATTCACAGAAATAACATTCACTCAGGAAACCCTTGATGTTTTTGATTCCATAATAATGCTTGTTGTGTAACAATATAAACACTGTTTCTTCTTGTTGGGGTCTGCCTGTGGCAAAAAAAACGCCACCCTCCTTGATTATAAAACAAAATCTTTATGGTTGTACCTAGATACTCTTCAAAGAGGTGTACCTATGAAAAGTTGACCATGTTTTCTGTGGAAATGCCCAATCTGCTGTGGAGATCCTTGGCTCTAGTAATGATTTCTTGGTTTGTAAATGATCCAGTGTCTAACAAATACAACAAACGGTCAGCAAAACACAGAAATTCCCCCTCCACATTGAAATCAAGCAGATGGCACCTTTTTTCCTCCAGGACCCTGATGAATAGTACTGTGCTTAACTTCCTAAGTCCTCCCCCCTCTGTGTTCTTCATGATGGTAACCACTAGTTGTAAATCACCACCCCACAACACTTCGACATTGCTCTGTAGCATGCTTTCAACATGGCTCAGGAGCACATCAGCATTTAAATCATCCATATGTCTCCTAACAGAAAAGAGAGGTTGATTTAGACCTTCTGCATCCAGCCAGAGCTGAACAAAATCATTGGCTCTTATCTCCCTAGAAATATTGTTCAAAAGACTCTGTATCTCATTATGAATAACATCTATAGCCTGTGTGAATGAGTGAATACGATCAAGGTTTACGAATCTATAACAAATGTAATGCTCCTTGGCATTGAAATTATTAGGATATTGTTGCCACATTTGAATACTCTCCAAGTATGCATTGCCTGGATTCTGGGTATTTATGATGCTTGGCCCCACTGACTGTTGCATCTCCTTTGCTGGCAGGGGTTCTGGTATAGACTGCTCTGTGCTGATACTATCTGGGGAGTCTGAAGGAAATCTGCCACCATGCATTTCTGCTTTTTTGCAGGATGGCTCTGGATAAAACAACAGAAACAACAGTAACCCAATAAATAAATAATGCTGGCAGCATTCATAAACGTACAATGCCCCTTCATGGTTTTCTGAAACCTGCTTACATTTTGGATAAAACAGTGTGGATATTTTTACCTTCTAAATGACTCTGTGCTCCATGGGATGTAGAAGGCTGGGGGTCCATAATCTGTAGAGCCCATTGTGAATCTGTGGGCATTGGAAAATAGGCAAAGATCTGATCTTCCTCCCACAGGTACACACTGTCTGAATTCTGAGTATTTATGACACTTGGTCCTGTTGACTGTTGCATCTCCTTAGCTGGCAGGGGTTCTGGTATAGACCATTCTGTGCTGATACTATCTGGGGAGTCTGTAGGAAATCCACCACCATGCATTTTTGCTTTTTTGCAGGATGGCTCTGGATAAAACAACAACAGTAACCCAATAAATGAATAATACTGGCAGCATTCATAAACATACGATGATCCTTCATAGTTTTCTGAAACATACTTGCATTTTGGATAAAACAATGTGGATATTTTTACCTTCTAAATGACCCTGTCTTCCATGGGATGTAGAAGGCTGGGGGTCCATAATCTGTAGAGCCTGTTGTGAATCTGTGGGCTTTGGAAAAGTGGTAAAGATCTGATCTTCTTCCCATTCTGAAGGAAAAGAATAGAGGCAAGCAGAGATCACTTTTGCTGCAGAAATTTTACGTGAGTCTACTGAAATGTATTTGTGTGAAAGGAAAAAGAATACCTTTGTAGGCTTTCAGGCATTGTGAGTCTGAGACTTCATTCTAATGAAAGAAACCACCACCAACAAAAAGTTATAAATACGGTATTGTGTCTAACAGGTCCTATATGTTAAAATTATCCATAAATTACTTACGCTAGTCGCATCCATTCTGAAATGGGTCTGCTTTGCTGGCAAATGGTGCAGGATGGATGGATGGATAACTCAGACTCCTGCGTTCCTGTCTGTTTCAGTATGGGCCTCCTATAGTACTTTATACATGCTGTTGAGGTCACACACTAATTGCACCAGAGACACTGAATTCTTAACACCTTTTGCAAAACCAATAAAAACCTTGACCCTAACCCCCAGGAAGGCTGTTTGAATAATATCACATGTGTTGTGATTAAATTGCATCTCTGTGTTTACCATCTGACATGGTT